AAATCGAGAGTATCTACGCCAGAGCACGGAGCCCATCTTCGTCAGGCAACAACCGGACCAGTTCTTGCGCGAGGTGCCGGGTGGAAGAATCTTAGTTTCCGCTCAGCCGAACATCGAAGAGGATCCCGCTTACAGGCCGCTCTCCATCAATAGGATCTTGTTGCGCCCCCTCCCTAGCCAGCAGCCGCTTTACTCCACGACAACGGACGCAAATATTCACTATCTAACGGAGAATCCTGTTCCTCCTGAGCAAGAAGAAGACCCCAGAGTCGCCATGGCGCCGGGCTACATGCGTCCAAGGCATTTCCCGCGACCCGTCATCTTCCAAGAACCGAGGGCCAGGCCCGTGTTGAGACCCGTCTCGCCACCTGTTGGCCCAGTCGATGAAAGGGAGTATCAAACGACCTCGGAATATCCTTACAGGAGCAGCACGCTAGCCTTACCCCCGGAACCACCGAACCCAATCAACCCACCTCTGAGCAGACGTGACTTCCAATTACTGTTGAGGAGGTTGCTGGTCAGCCAGTACGGCGTCCAGGCCCTCTCCTATCCGAAAACTTACCTGGAGGACGCACTGTACGACCAGCAACCGTATCCCTCTTATCAGCCAAGCTATCAGACAGTTGCTGCGCCACGATCAGAAATTCCGGGCTACGATCAACAAGTTCCCCTTCAGTACGGCGATCGTGTCCCCGTCAGGCGTCCCGTGTTCGCCAGGCCCTTGAGCCCTGTTTATCAACCCCAACAGTACGAAGATTACAACGACGGAAGTCGGTACTCGAAGAGGGTATACAGGCAGAAGTTTTACGCGCAAGAGATCGGTGACGAGGGGGATGAAATATTGCCCGCACCTATCCGAGAAGCATTGTTGTTGAGGATGCTGCAACTGGCGATTAACGCTGAACGGCCGCCTCCCATGCTCACGTCACCGGTTATGACCACAACCACGCCTGCTTCGAGGTACAGGAAGACTGGACCGGTTAGGAGCGTGCAGATCATTAGCGACGAGGAGGAGGACGGGAAGGAGACGATGAAGAAGAAGATGTGAATAATTCTATCTCTGATGACTTAGCTCTCGGTGGTCATGAAATCAAAGAATGTTTAAGTTGACGTCGGAATTTAGTTCATTTTTTTTTTTTATAACGAATAGTATTTCGTTTGTAGAATGTATGAGGTCACACGTACGAATGATTTCACGAATTAAATTAGGAAGATGTAATTATAATTATATATAGAAAAGTTAATATTTCCTGTAGAATATATATATATTTTTAGGAAATGACACAATTTAAAAATTATCAACGATAAATTGATAGATTCGAAACATTAAGGGATACTGTAAAAAGTGAACGTAAATTTGTAAGCGAAAAGATTCTCTTAGGTTTGTACAATTTAGAGAAAATGTTTCGAAATATATTATTTATTTTTCTTTTTATTAAATTATCCCTAAAGACAAAGAATTTTATGAAAAAGAAATTTCGCAATGAACCGTTCTCACACTCGACGTCCCATTTTTTTTACGTTTCCCTTGAGATTATACTTCATACTCGTTCCAATACTCGTTTGTCAAAAGAATTACAAGGTTACTTATCTTCTTCGACAATTAATTTTCTCGTCCAAAGAAACATCTTAATTACAGTAGCTGGACACAGAGATGATCCGTTTCCATAACGAGAAGATAGCCGAGAGAAGAGCGTGAGAATGAAGGAAAAGCGGCGTCGATAAGGGGATCGTGGCGACACAGTTTTCACGGAACAACACGGACCGATATCGTCAGCGAAACGAATCGACTTCTATGAAAGGGAAAACGTGTGTTCGTCCATACGATTTTCCGCGCGGCAACTTTCAACTATCTCGCAACGACTCGTTCTTGCTTTCGAGTCGAATCGTCGTTACATTTAAGTCGACGAAATGGCGGTGTATATGGTCAATCTAGTACAATTACGTTGATCTTGCATACAGTTGCTGCGTTTACTGTATCTTATTCTATGTGTCACGTAGCGTAGAAATTTCCAAAGAGACGAGCGGAAAGTACTTTAATTTAGCTCAAAAGTATAATTGGATATGTTCAATCGTCATTGTCAATGCGAAGTATCGTTTATTAAATTTAGATTTTAGATTATTTGAAATATTTCCCTCTTTTTTTTTTTTTTTTTTTTTTTA